CAGCATTATTTATGCTGTTGTAATTTTGCAGTGTTAATGCATTCATGCTATATTTCAGCTTCATTCAATTGTCTGTGTAAATGCATCTAAATGCCACGTCAGCTGCTTCTGTTTCTCCAGCAGTGGAAAATGTGGTTTTGTTAATACTGATTTAATCTGATTGTAACAGCCCTATATAGTCTTATTATATTAAGTGTAATTATTAATAAAATAATAATTTGATACATGACACATGAATTTATAGGGGGAAATGCCCTTTTTATAGGCACACACAAAAAAAAGACCTGGAAATCAATTCAAATAAATTTTAATATGCAGTAACTTTAGTCATATAAAATTGAATTTTCCAGCAACAAAATTGTGGCCAGTGAAAATGCTGAGTGGCTAGTAATTTTGGAAAACCGCTAGCCACAGTGGCTGGGGAGCAAAAGAGTTAATATCAAGCCCTGTATACAGTGAATACTTGTATTTATACTTGTATTGCATTAAAAAAAATGTGGTGTTCAACCAGATTACGGTGGTGGGGGTGCTTGATGTGTCAAACACTAGAAAGGGGTGCACACTAAAATCGCACCGTGTACGCCCGCCTGACTCAGAACAGCATGTTTTGTTCATTTTAATATCTTTATACAGATTTTAATAGAGTATTTATTAATATAAATGATATTAAATTATAACATGATGAGTTTCAACTGGTGTGATGACATTCCCAGAAATTACACCTGCAGATGAAATATTTTTTTTATCTCATGAAGGAAAGCCTTACGGTCACACTTTATTTTAAGGTCCAATTCTTGCTGTTAACAAACCATTGACTACAACTTTTGCATCAATAAACAATAAAAAATTATTTATATTAAATACTTACAGACAAGAGAACAGAGCAAAAGCAAAAAAAGCATCATTTTCCAGGATGATTCAGTTTATTTAGTTTATCTGCGTCACCAGCTGTTATTGAAGTAAACATTTATTTAACATAGCAGAGGTTGTCTCTAGCACCTCCTCTTAAAGCCACAGTCCTTAATTTATGAAGCAGATCATCTCTCTCTGATCCTAGATCTGTGATCTCTGATCCTGAATGTGTTCATGATGATAATTTACCATCTAACAAATATATTTTGCATTATTTTAAAACTGTATACATTTTAGCATTTTAGCCAGCATACTGTTTCATCTAAGAATCGTCTGTCAGAAAGTGCTGTTCATATTTTTATGTAACATCTTTATTGTTTCACTATTGTGACATCTGAAGAACAATTAACATTTATAATCAGGGCTGGATTGGTAATCGGACACCCGGGCATTTTCACGGTGGGCCGACACACTTAAGGGGCCGACAGAATGTTTTTTTTTGTTTTGTTTTTTGCAGAGGACCATCACGCAGGGACAGCGAGCAGCCAGTGGCCCATTGGTTTGTCTCCTGTATTGACAGCGTAAACCACCCAATCACAATGCACTATAGACGGAGCGATGAAGTATTTTGCTCCGCCTATATAAAGATTGCATCACCCCAACTTCTTCCTCGTCGGCTTTCCCCACGTTTTCACAGCAGCATTATCAAGAACAGGTTTGCTCTGCGGTGAGTGATGCAGGCCAAAGAGCCAAGGCAGGAAGAGGAGAGGAGAGTAGTTGAATCTGTAAAGTGCTTGATAGGGACTCGCAGCGGAGGCAGGCATCTAACCCAGTGTTTCCCAACCTTTTTTTAGTCGCGGCACCCTTTGAAAATTTTAACAAACTTGTGGCACCCTACAAAATTAATTTTGTCACAATATTTGAATTTCTAACTTCGATGTGATCATTTGAAAAGTATAGATATTCGATACAACAGGGAAGAATAATAAGAATATTATTTAAAAAATTTGTCTATCAATGGTGGCAATCAGTAGGCTAATTTCTAATGAAGAGACCAATTTATATGACAGATTTTAATGTAGGCTTTTATACATATGTAAACATTATTTAATTACCATTATAACTAGCTATCTC